AGTTGGTCTGTCTCTCAGACTACTCAGACTCTGGTGCGTTAACGATGCAAGGAGTTGATTCGTTCCCGTTTAAATTCATCCTTGTCTTTGTCCCTGCGGGTCGATTGCCTTCATGGGAACGCTAAACCTTTTATTTAGTCTCCAGTCTCCAGTCTCCACTCTTTAGTCTCAGCCTCGAGTATTTTTTATACATATTGTGTATAAATATAAATATAAATGTGTGATAGGTATACTGATACACTGAAGAAAAAATTAACTTGAATCAAGAGTAAAATTCTTGAACCAAGAAAATAATTTTGAAGAAGCTCATTGTCTTGAATCAAGACGAAAAACTCTTGAATCAATTAAAATTTATTAGTTTGAGAATTTTTTAACTCAAACCAAGATGAAATTTTTCAAAATTATTTATTTGATTCAATTAATTTTTTTTTTTCTGTTAATATTTAACAAATAATTTATTAGAGACCACTTTTTAGTTCTACTTTTTAGTATTAATATTTAATAAATGAATATCAGATTTATTAAATACAAACAAATTATCGCAAATACTAAGAATTTTTTTTTTATTAATTAAATTACAACTAAAAAGATATTTCTAAAAAATTGCACTTATAGTTTTTCAAAGTTTTTACATGTGACATTTTTTTTTTTAATTGTTTAAGTAACTGAAATTTTTTTAATAAAAAGTGGTCTAATAAATGATTTGTTAATTATTAACAAATATTTTTTAATAAAAATAAATCCTATCAGTGTATCTATACTAGTTGAAGTGGAGACAATACTTTTAGATACTTTTATGTATGATGGCTCATGGGGCTATGTACACTTCGTTAATGTACTGTGTACTATAATAGAAAAATAATATAATGTAATATATAACAATAAAAAGGATAAAAAGCAGAAGAGAGGCAGAGAGGTAAAAGAGAAAGATAAGAAAGAGCAGAGGGATTGTATCGGATAGGAAGGTGAGGAGAATCGTGTGGTGAACCCGGTGGTTGGCGCGGGGGAATACATAGATGACGGGACGAACCAGCAGAGAGAACGAGGGGAAGCTCAAGGTCGGTTGGACTGTCAGAAGCCTAACCAACGTTATATATCAATGTATTAATGTGTACTTGTGTATATGTAGTTGAATACAAGCCGAAATATCAACATACGTATGTTGCTCCTTCTTCAAATTATTATTCTCTTTTGCTCTCTTCTCCTCAGTGTGAACACTACACTACACACTGGCTATGGCATAGGCATATACACGTTCCACGACATTTTATTGCCTTATTCTCGCTCTCGACAGGTTTGATACTGCCAGAGTTGTCGTCACGTGCCAGAGAAAGGCGTACAAGTAGATAAAGCTTATATTCATTAAAAAAATAAATAAATAAATATGTTATTCATTACGGACTGTGAATAGAATTGTTGTCTTGCTCAGGAGACTGACTAAGGACTATTTTATTCGCATTCGACTGAATTTTAATTATTGGCTTTTAAATTTAGTGTGAAAAATTTTTTTTATTAGGTAATAAATTTTAAATTGAAAATATTATTGGAGAATTTAAATTGTTAATTTAAAAATTTTTTAGAGTAATTTTGATATTAAAAATATTAATGATAGAATTTAATTTTTAATTAAAACAATTATTACAATTATTTTTAATTAAAACAATTATTGAAAAATTATTACGGAGAATTTAAATTGTAAATTTAAAAAATTTTTTGGAGTAATTTTTATATTAAAAATAGAAATAATATCATTTAATTCTCAATTAAAACAATTATTGAAAAATTATTACGAAGAATTTAAATTGTAAATTAGAAAAATTTTTTTGGTGTTTTTTTTTTTTTTTTTTAAATACAAATGATTTTATTTTCAATTAAAATAATTAATTTTTGAATATTATAAAAATTTTTACACTATAATTTAACTTCAATTATATTAAATAAATTTTTTAGAAAATACCAAAGCTGTCACCATCAAGACACAACAAATAATATAGAAAATTCTATATATACTTAAATAAAAAGAAAAAAAAAGTAATTATGTCAGTTGTCAGTATCAACGCTCCGTTTTTTATCTCGATATAAACTCAAACTTCGCAATGTGTGTCTATTACATTAAAACTCAGCAGATTAGATTTGCCCAGGTTTTATCATAGCGCCAGAACGATCATATAATAACAATAATAATAATACCAACGATCGTGACTCGGTTCTTCAAACAAAATAAAATTAAAGTAAACCAAAGGAACATACATAACCTCATCCGCGGAAGCAGTATATTTTCCCTGCGTCTCCTCTTTTTACCGGGTATATATGGTATGTGCTCAGTACACATACGTACTTACAAATAAAGACACACATAAGCGCGATTAAATAAAATACCATTCGACACAAGTACGTAAGGTAAACACATACATACCAAATAAAATACCCATACCTTAAAGCTATAATATGTACATAGAGAGCATATTCGCGGCGATTTCAGGAGCACTCTCACCGGATCGGCCTCGCTCGTGACTTACCTCATGCTCTTGTGGTTCCTCATACTCATACTGATACTCATAGCATACTCAGAACAAGAACAAGAACAAGAACAAGAATAAGAATAAGACCAGAGCTCAGAACTTAAACTCGAGTAGTGTAGATACGGTATCCCGTGTGGTGTGTAGTGTGTTATGTGTGTTATGTGTTCCGCTCGAAACTCTTACACACTTATAGGCCCAGGACCCGGGGACGGGACACGGGGACGGGGCCACGCACTCTCTTTCTAGCTCGGTCTCCTTCTCGAGCTCGGTCCTCGGTCGCGGTGTCGTTCTTTTTGTCGTCGTCGTGTTGTCTCACTCGAGCGAGTCTGCCCCTCATACCTCGTACCTCTACTCGCACCGAGTAGAGCCTTTACTTCGAAAGCCTTTACTTCTCCAAGCTAACCCAGCAGCACTACTCGCGACCGCTTGTTCCTTCTTTCTCTCACCCGCACTCTTTGTATGTACACTTTTTTAAATCCTCGCGGTTTTCTTTTTTTTAAATAATACAAACATTTTTATTATTATTATTATTCTTACCTAAAAATGAACAATAAATAAAGAAGACACACAATAAAATAATTAAAAAAAAAAAATAAAAAACGTACCTGGAAAAAATTGACGGCAGTCCGAAAAATATCCGGGTAGCTGGTAAAAACTCCTGGGACACCTTCACCAAGTTTAAAACACACTTCCACGGTAAAACAACACACACTGATCGTTGGAAGGTGGTACACCAGCAACAGCACCACCACCACCACCACCACCACCACCACTGGTAGGTACGGTGCACCTCTACTGTTAAATACCTCGACTTGACTCGACAATCACTGCACCAGGAAGAATATAAATAATAAAAACAAATTAAAAATTAGCTGTAGTAATAATTATAATAATAATAATAATAATAATAATAATAATAATGATAATGGTAATGTTGATGTAGGATTGTATTGTAATAAAAATATAATGAGCAACAAGCTACCAGATACCGACGATGGCGATGACAATGCGTGGTTCGTAAACTGGTGAACGGCTAACGGGTCAATGACGATCGCTCCACGGCACACCTTTGCGTTACGTTACAACGGATTTTACAAGCCAAAGCCACTCGCGCCGCCACGGACCTCGAGCCTCTACCTCTACCTCTCTACCTCCGACTCTTCTCGCCTCTGGAACCACCACGACCGCCAGAGCCGGAGCTGTGTACTGTGTGTGTACTTCTCCTGTCTTGTGTCGGAGTTGGCTGCTGTTAGTCTGCTCTATTCAGGCTGACCAAGCGACACTCATGTTAGTACAGTGCATTCCCGACAGGGCGCAGCTCTTACTGGCACTCTCGTCGCCATCTTGATTTCGCGCTCGTCGCTGAGTTGAAGAATGAAAATGTTTGATAATAATAATGGTTTATAATAATAAACTACGGGATTAATTTAATTTAAATTGCGCATAACCTCTGATAGATGTACGGTTTTATTTTTTGCTGATTTTTTTAACGGGATTTTGGTTTTTTGAGTAGATATTTTTTAATTTTCGCCATCTTGATTTGTGAGGTATTTTTTTTTGTTTTTATTATTGTTTGGTACTTTATGTGTGATTGTTGTTATTTATGATTCTTTAGTTAGTTGACACTGAGTATTTTTTGGAGTTTTTTTATTTTTTTTATTGTCAATTAATTAATTTTTATTGAAAAAAATCAGTGTCTGCTAATTTTAAGAATCAATTTAAATTTTTAATAAAAAATTAACATTTTACTTTTTTTTTTCAGAAATTAGAAAAAAATTGAGATCCAGAAAATGATGACCTATTTTTTTATGATTTTTTATTAATTTTTATATGGTGAGATTTGTATTTTTTTTCACTAATTGTATTATTAGTCTTATGAGCTGATTTTGTCAGTATTTTTTTCTTTATGGAATTCAACTTAGCTGTCACATTACAATTTTTTAATTTTATTTAACAAAAAGATTTTCTCCAAAAAATTATTTTTAAAAAAATTGCATTTTTTATTTTTTTAAATTTCTAAATGTCAACTTTTTTTTTTCTTCTTTTTATTTGCCATAATTTATTTGTTATAAAATTATTAAATATGTGCCACATTAATTTTCATTTTTTTTTCTTTGTTTTATTAAGAAAAAATTTGTTTATTTAATTATTAGTGTATTAATATTCTTTTAAATTATTATTTATATCTGCAATTGTCAATAACTTAATTTTAAAATATTAAAATTTATTAGAATGATTTTTGATTTTAGAAATTTCACGTTAAGATCTATTTTAGGTATCTAACATCTTATTTACAATATTTCCAACATTAACTCATTTTATTATTCCAAAATAATTTAAATAGTTTGATTTTCATGGCAAGAAACTGATCATATTTTCTTTTCTTTTTTTTTTTAGTTTTTAGGAAGTAGTTTAAAAGAGGTAGCTCTAGGATTTATAGTTTGTTTATCAGGATTCTTCTCATAAAGCACTGCAGTGATGGATCCTCATGAAGTAGAATTCCTAGGTGAAAAAAAGCAAGTTGAGATAGTTCCCAACTTCAATCTCGGTCAAGTCCACTTAATTTCTGGTTCCATTGGTCCATTCCGAGCTGGTTTGCCTGTCAATGTTCCCATTTGGTTAGCCGTCACTCTTAAACAGCAGCAAAAGTGCCGAATTTTATCTCCAGATTGGATGCAGCTGGAAAATCTCGAGGCAATAAAAGAAAATGAGAAACAATCGAAAGATTTCACGAGGATGCCCAATGATCATTACATGGACCAAGCTCACATATTGCTCAACGCTGCATCCGATGATTTAGTTGAGGTAGATAGCATTCGTACATCTATAAAAGATATCTGGGATACGAGGATGTCCAAGCTTCGCACTTTGATCGATGAGTTATTTAGAGATGAGAATGGAGAGCATGCTTTGTTGAATAATCTTACCTTGATGGAGATTACTAGTGTTAGGTCACTTTTACCTAACGCTATGGATCAGTTGCAGCGGATTAAGACTAGCGAGGATCGTGTTAGAGGCTCTCAAACGCAGGATTCATTATAGGGTGGAAATTTAGGAATTAAAAAAATTATGTAAATTAATTTAAATCATAAAACTGGTTTTTATATGTATATTAGTTAAATAAATAAGATTAATTTAATTTTTACTATAATTAGTGCTTTATATATTTTTTTTAAATTTTCTACGTATAATATTTATTGAAATAGATTTTTTTTAATTATAAAAAACTGAGGATTTATTTTTTAATCTCAGAAATTTATATTTTATTTTTTTTTATCAATATTAGTAGACATTTGATCATTTTTGTTAGTTTAAAATGAATAAAAAATATCAGCAGAAGAAATTTTATAATTTATTCACAAAAAAAAAATTTTTATAAATTATTAAGAGTTTTTTGTTTATGTTTGATAAGTATAATATGAAAACAATAATTTTTTTTCTTTTAAAACTTAAAAATATAAAAATATTCAATGTCTGCATCATCAATTTTTATTTATTTACATTCTTATTAATTTTTTCGTGATCTTATTAAAATTCCAGATTCTAAAATTTCAAATTTGGCGCGTGAGTTTCCCATTTTGATCAACAGATGGCGCAAGTTACACTGCGCAACGCCTACTGCGCAACTACGCCGTTTTTTCAAACAGCAACCGTCCGTACCGAGTGAGTGGCGCTTTCTGCGCATCTACGCAGTTTCTTAAACAGAAACCGGCCATATCGAGTGAGTGACACTCCGTTTTATGTTCTCCCGCGCAAATAAACTTACAATTTATTAAAAAATGTTTGAGACTTCGCTTAAATTACATGTGTCCCGTAAATAATGTTTATTTTTTCAAATTATTAGTCGTATGACATTGAAATTAGCAGGTATTTGACAATCATAGGAATTTTTTTAACAAATAAATTATGGCAAAAAAATTGAGCCCATCCCCAATTTTCATTAGTGTTTAATTTTATATGGTTACTCATTTTTATTTATTATTAAACATTAATTATTTATTTTTTTTTTTTTGTTAATATTTTACAGACTTAAAAATAATTGATATTAAAAAAAATATTTTTAAAGTAGAATTAAATAATTTATAAATTAACAAAACAATAGCATTGATTAACATAAAGAAACTTTTATTTTTTTTAATTCTTCTTGCTATAATTTATTTGTTAAAATAATCCTGGAAATTATAAAATATTTTTTAATTTTAGTGTCATATTAATTTTTATAACCCAGTATTTAAAGTGACTTAGTGTTTAAAGTGACCTAGTGTTTAAAGTGACTTAGTGTTTATAGTGACTTAGTGTTTAAAGTGACCTAAATGAAAATTAAGTTAGCCGACATTTTAAAATTTTTAGAATTTTTTTTTTTATTAAAAAAAATATTACAAAATAATAAAAAAAAATTTTCATTTGTAAAAAACTTGAAAAACTGTAAGTGCAATTTTTAAAAAATATTTTTTTGTTCTAATTAAATAATTAAAAAAAAATTAAAAACGTCGGCTAACTTTAGTGTTATGTGACCTAGTGCTTAAAGTGACCCCGTGTTAAAAGTATCAAAATTTTAATTTCTCATCATCAAAATTGAATCCATCAACGTGCGACAGGAGTCAGAAAGCTGTCAGTCTGCGGCGTAGCTGAGTAAGGTAAGGAAAAATTCAATAGAACTGATGTCAAAAGTATTTATTAATCAAAATTCCATAACAATAACCAGTTATTCGTGATCAGAGTAATTACTGATGTTGTTCCATGATTGCTCAACGTCCAGCGCTTCCATCAACATCAGCCAAAGCTAGATAATATCCGTTAGGTCTAAAATGCTATGCCCTCCAGGATGTTACTTAATGTCGACCTGAGGACTCTGGCCGTGCGAAAATTTTTCAATCGGTCGGATGCTAATTTTCTCAGATGAACCGCGATCAAACGACCAACTAGCATATTAAATCGATAGGACTCGGGTTATTATCCTGTCACTGGTCATCAACGAATTAATTTTATCATTTTATCCAGCAATTGATTTCACAAAATCAATGACAGGACTTTCGTAATTTATTTAACTATTTTGTCGTCGTAAAACCACTACAAGATATTTTATTTCAACTTTAAACTAACAAAGTACTTTTTATTTTATCATTGTATTTATATTTCACAAGTAACAAGTTTTAAATTCAATTTTGAAAGAATCGATTGCTGGATAGGATATAAATTATACCTTTTCTATATATACTGTATATTATTTTAAAAATTCTTTAAAACTAAAGACTCGATGTCGATCCAATGAATTCGTATAGAAGCAAAGACTACCGACAATCGTCTTCACTGTCTTGTACGTCGTTACGAAATAAAAACGCAACGACAAGTACATTGAGTAACTCTCGGTGCGTTCAATGAACACATATAATATAATATAATATACCGTTTAACACTCTCTACTGTCAAGTGATGCACATTCTCTCCCTCTGGTAGTCTCTGGTAGTCTCTTGGCAATAAATTTAACCAAAGAATAATATATTTTATTCATTTATTCATTTTTATATTACTTTTTTTGAGTTTGTGAACCTTCAGTGGTTCGAGAACCGCAGTAATCTCAAATCCTGAGTCATAATCCTGAAATATACATATACAAATGTATATCTTAACTTCATTTAAAAGTTACAATAAATATAAAATACATAATCTAAAAAAAATATACAAAAATATACAAAGCAACGGAACGGAGATATTAACCGAACAATACGCTCGTAAAATAATTTTTCCAACTTCAGCCCAGCCGACCACCAGCACCAGCACCAGAGATTGCACCTAAGATCCTGACATGTGTACGCATTAATGCATATGATTTCCATATATCGTTTGTATGGAAAGTTAACTCTATTCTACTCTTTTATTTCATTTTTTATTATTTTTCCTCATGCTCCACGGTTCTCGGTACTTATATACTCGCCGGTGTATTTTTTATTTTTTCCGCGTGTTGGATATAAAATTGCAGAACTCATAACCAATTTCATGGGTTTAGTTTTACAAGATTTTTAATCATACGTGGATCGTGATTACGCAATAATAGTGTCGATTACATTCCAATTTAGCGATGTTGTTGTATGCAGCGTGTGGATGAATCGGTAAGTTGAGTTTAAATTGCTAGTCTATTTTTGTTGTGGTTATACTTTTTATATTTATCATTGCAAGCATGACCGGAGTTTATAAACAACCGATTTGGAATTCTAGAGAGATTATTGAATGATCGTGTGCCCGAAACGGACGATCGCTAACACTTCTTGCAAGAAGTCGCTGCGCCTTGACCGATGGCCAATTTGAAAGGAGATTCATTTCAGCCGACTCAATCATTTAGTATCCGATTTTAATCTCGTCCTTTCATGTGTTCAATGATCCCATATATACATTTATTATATATAAATTCGCGTACTTTTGGATCTAGACGTGAAAGTAGGTGTCTTAAAACAGATTTAATTTTTAGAAAGCTACAATTAAAATTAATAATCGGATTTTTTGTTTGTATTTACGTAAAATATCGGGTCAAAAGCCACGGACTTGTTTTGTTTTGTTTTTATTCTAAAATAATACCGATTAACTTTTTAAATAAAGCATAGGTAAACGTTGAGCGCATCGGATGTGTCGTCAAAAAATTACGAAAGTATTAAACCATTGGGAACGGGACATAGTCCATTGTGCAGGAAGTGTGGACTATCCTAGTGATATTTTTTGCAACAATCCGCGATACGACACGCGATCTGTCGATCCGTTTCCTTTGTCATTCTCTTTTTCCGATTGCAACTTAAAACTTAACAAACGTTGCGCTTTCACATTACATTAAAGAAGCTACTAATGAAACTAAACTTTTAACTAAGAAAAGTTATTTTTAATTTAAATAACTTCTTTTTTTTTTAATTTTAATTTTAATTTTAATACCTTACAATTAATCGTTTCTTCACTCGGTCATGATTAAATTATACATTTTTTTTAATAGCTAGTTATTAACATAAATTTAAACGTGTACCGCGAATAATTCTCATGAATGAAACGCTGGAAAATACAATACCCCTGGGTATTTTATACGACTGTGGTTTTCTGTCGAGGTATTTTATTATCGGTGAGTACCTACATGCACGCTTACATTTTTAAAATCTAAAGTAATTGCTATTGCAATTGTAATTGTAATTGTAGTAGTAATAGTAGTATAATAATGAAGAAGAATATATTTGTTTGTAGGTAAAAGTTTAATAAAGTGATAGGATGGCAGATGGCGCGAGTTACGATTTGTGGCGGTCGCTTGAAAACACCTGATGATTTTCAGCAGTGCGGCATGGACTTGTGCGCCAACCGCTTCCTTATAAAATACAGGTAGCTCGTGTAAATAATTGTTTAAAAAACAATAACAATTAAAAACAATACTTATCTGTCAAATGGAATGATAAAAGTTTTATAAATATTAAATTGACAGTAAAAAAACAAACAGTTGTAATACGCCGTAATAACAGATTAGTTATTTAATAACATCTGTATTTTCTTCGGTTGATCCAATTAAAATAACGTGGACAGTGGATGTTTTGTAAACATTACGGCAAAATGATTAAATAAATTAAGATTAAGATAACAGATGAGAATTATACTTCAAAAGTAAGTTTTTTTAAGTACTCTGGACGGAAATAAGTACTCTAAATTAAAATTGTTGTTTTTGTTGGTCTGATATTAAAGAAATATTATAAATAAACAAAATGTAATGAAGGAGACCGCGCTTCGTAATTTAAACGAAGTGAATGTAATGTTATGGGCTCCGATTATATGAGCTCTAAATGTTGTGATTGTTTATTTTAGTTTTATTCTGTTAAATTATTTTTTATCACGCCATCATGATGCTCGTTCGACTGGTGCTCACCACGACATTATTTCTACTGGTTCTTGGGATCAGGAATTCAACGAGTCAGCTGCGGGATGAACTTGTCGCGACAACTAAAGATCGTCAGGCGGTTGATAAAGGTAATGAGGATTAATTAATTAATTAAATAATAATCGGGAATATTATTGTAATAATT